TACTGAGATAGGGAAAGAGAATCCCAAAACATCAATTACCATTGGCCATAATCTTTTATTTTGAGCATCTCAGCAACCAGCTGGGTAATTAGTCAAAATCATAAGAAGAACATTCATTAAATGTCCATGCTTATACACCTTTTGATCTACTGATATGTCTAAGTATAATATGACCATTTTATATTCAATGTTTAATTTTTAAGTATACTTTAAGCCTAAAGTTGATGACTGTCAAATACAGACAAATAGATGATCCAGATTTAATTACTGCTGTAACTCAAAAACTGTAAAGGAATTATGCTAAATGAACAAAGTTATCTCAGAAAAACCACATACCATATGATAATCTCAAAATAACAACTCCACAGAACAGATCAGTTCTCAGTGCCAGAGATCACAGATTGTGATGGAAGTCACTACAGAGGAGCATCACCAAGTAGATCATTCTGGTGGCGATGGCTACATGAATAGGCATTACAACAGAAACACACAGAACTGTGCACATACACTGTAATAATATAAATCTGATTCTGATATTATACCAGTTAAGTAAAATATAACCATTGGAAGCATCTGGTAAAAGAGAACACACTGATACTATTTTGTTGGCAACTTACAGAGTCTATCACTATTTTCAAAACTAAAAGGTTTACAAATGCTTCATGCATATCTAATTTCATGTGCCATTTCAAAGACTTCTTAAATAGAAATATCCTGAATGCAACTTACGTAAGAAAGAGCAACAAATTTCTATTCTGGACTCATGCTCAAAAACATACTCTTAGCCTATCATCAAGATTGGAAAAAAAGCCGGGCAGTGGTGGCACATGCCTTTAATCCCAGTACTTGGGAAGCAGAAACAGGTGGATTTCTGAGTTCGAGGCCAGCCTGGTCTACAGAGTGAGTTCCAGGACAGCCAAGGCTACACAGAGAAACCCTGTCTCAAAAAAACAAAAAAAAAAAAAAAAAAAAAATTGGAAAAAAACCACCAAAGGTGTAATGCACTATGTTCACTATGTTCAGTTCCTTTATGTAATTTCCTTTTTGGTTTACTGGAAAAGTACAATTACATCAGATAAATAGTAATATAGCCACACATCTTAGCCCTTAATTACATTGCCTATTTGAGAGTTATGAGGGAAAGCTAGATGCCTCAGTGAATCTATATAAAATTTAGGAGTGCTTAACATTAAAGTGTGGAAAGACTTCTGGCATGTTTGTGTGCACGCATGTGTATTGGTGCATTAATGTGTGCAGGTACACATGTAAATGTGTCTAGAGGCCAGAATTTGACATCATGTCTCTTCCTCTTCCTTTATTTACTGACACAGAGACTCTCACTTGAACCAAGCACCTATCATTCAGCTAGTATTGAGCTTATCTGGGAATCCCTGTCTTTGATTTTAATCACAGAGATTACAGAAGGGCCATCGCAGTCAGCTGACTGTTAGGTATATGATGGAAATCAGAATTTATGTTTGCAGAGATATATAAAGTGACACTTTTGTGTCTGGCTTTGAGTGAAATGCCTCAGCAAAGCCTTTGCTACATTTGGGTTAATCGGTAGAAACTGAGAAATTATTTTGAGACTGTTTGAACCTTGAAAAAATGTAGTAGCCCTGGAAAGCGAGAGCTTGCAGCTGCACAAACCTTGGTCCTAAGACACTCCTGGCAAACCTGGATGTCTTCTGATTATGGCTAGCCATGGTCAAAGAAGATTGAGATTTCTGTGGGTTGTCAGCTCTCTGAGGCAGCAAGAACAGGATAACACTGGTAGTTAGAACCTTTCCCAGCCCCAATTAATTTTGAGTAGTGAGTGAGCTAGCTGGGGTCAGTCTTTTTTCAATAAGGCTAAACCCCTCTGCTCCTTCAGAAAATGAGGGCTTGGCATCTAAGTAAGCTGCTATCTCTAATGTCGTACCTATGACCAACATCAACCATTGTGTGTCCTCACACTTGCAAAACAAGCTCTTCTGACTGAGCCCCTTCCCCAGTTCACAATGTTTATATATATTCATGTGTGTGTAGATATATATACACATAAATATATGTACACATACATATGTTTATATAGCATATATATTTGTGTAACTGTATTTATATATTATAAATATATTATACATATTTTTGTTTACATAGAATATAAATATATAAAATATATATTCTATAACACATATCATATATTATATGTACTTTACTATTATAAAACACATTAATACAAATTTATAAATTTACAAGTACATAAATATATACTTACAAACAAACATGTATTTATATACTTATATACGTATGTGAAAACCAGACAGGTAACTGGCATGCAACGGGCACTACATCAAAAACTGCTGGTTGCAAGGAACTAAGCCTGACATGTTAATATCTACAATAAAGTAATCAGGGATCGATGTTCATTATACACATATTAAAAGTCTTCATTCTTTGCTGGACAGTAGTAGCACACAGTTTTAATCTCAGTACTGAGGAGGCAGAACCAAGCAGATCTCTGTGAGTTCAAGGCCAGCCTGGTCTACAGAGTAAGTTTCAGGAAAGCCAGGACTACACAAAGACATCCATCTCAAAAAAACAAAACAACAACAACAAATTTCATACTTCAAGAATATCTCCTTTCTAAAGTTACTAAAAATTTCCTGGGTATTTCTAACAAAATAAGCTTACCAAAATAAATTTCCTAAATTTATACACACACACACACACATATATATCTTTCACGTACTATTTACTAGCTGTAAGTCAATGAAAAGCCTATGTAAGAAATGAGGAACTAAGTGATATATGAATAACAATATATTCTTAAGCTGGTTTTAGATCAAAATACTAAAACTCATATTTGGCAGTTATTCAATTGTGATTACTAAAGGGGAAAAACAACTCCATTATGCAAAGGGGAATGGTTCTCTGTTTTTGTTCAATGTGGGGCTTTTTTGGTTTGGTTTTTCTGCATCGAAGACAATCTAAACCAACTCCTTGAACACAGTAGGAATCCACTCTCCCACTAAACTAAACTCCCAACTCTTAGGGTACTCTCTTTATTTCAACAAGTGTCTCAAAATATGTTGACTCCAAAAAGGAAATAAAGCGTTTGTCTTGAGGTGTGGAGTTGACTAAGCAGGTAAAAGTCAGTGCCAACAAAGCTTGATGACCTGACTTTAGGTCTCTGGAGCTCATATAAAAGCCGAACCCAGTAGAGAATATCTGTGATCTGTTTTCCTAAAGGATGGCAGGAGGTAGAGGCAGGAAAATCCCCACGGATGCATGCAGGCCAGCCAGGCTGGAATACACAAAGCAACAAAGAGAGACCCTGCTACAAACACTGGAAGTTCAGGACTGACACTGGGGTTATCCCCTAACCTCTACACACACAGATTCCACATGCATACATTCCAACAAGAACACACTGACTCGCATCATATATATATATATACATATATATATATATGTATATATATATATATTAAAGTTGGTCTGACTCTCAGTTTCAGATATTAAAAAAAATCACTTACATTTCACCTCTCCAATCTGCTTACAAAAGACAAAAGAAAGCAGACACTAATTGCTACACAAAAAGAAGTATTGAAACAACAAAAGAATAAGAACTACCAAACCACGTTTAAGTCCCCTTAGCTCAGGCCTATCTAGCAGCACACCAGGAGCAGCAACCTAGCATCTCCACAGCCATCTCCAACAGTCCTCAACACGTGGTCTCACACCTACTGGCACTCAACCCGTCTTTAAAGGGAAAAGGAAATCACAAGAAGGCAGTAAGTTTTCATTTATAAAACTCCATAATCATTCGCTGTCTACACTGCCTTACAGTAGTGATTGCTAATAATAAGCTATAAGTTACAAAAAGTTAATTATTTGACAAATATTTAATGTGGTCAGCACCCTCTTCTCCAAAAGGAGGAAAGAACACACAGACAATAGAAACATTTCCGACATTTCTTTATGCTGGTGATGTGAAGATTCAAAAGTATTCTTTCAGACTATTCATAAACAACAGTAGCTTATAAGGAATCATCTACAAAATTTTATTGTGATCATTTATTTCATAATTTCCTGATACATTTGTAATTACTTTATTAAACATTACAGTCACAAGCCAGCATTCTGTTTCTCTTGTTCCTGGTGTGAAAATCTGAGCATTTCTCTTAATTACAGCTGTAGTAGTATATATAAAACCAACAGCTCAACTAAACTTTCATCTCTCCAGGAGCACAAACACAAAATTGCAGAAAATGATAACTACATATCACTTCACTGCTTCCCTGCATAGTTAACAATCATCTCCAAAAGTATCAGTACAAGCTTTTAATCCCAACACTCAGGAAGCAGAGGCCAACCCGGCACAGTTAGTTAACAGTGAGACTCTGAGACCCTTTTTAAAAGTAAGAGAAAAGAAGGAAGAAGGAAGAAGGAGGAAGGAAGAAAGAAAGAGAAGGAAGAAGAAGAAGAGGAGGAGGAGGAGGAGGAGGAGGAGGAGGCAGAAGCAGCAGCAGCAAACACACAACTGTCAAGTCTTGATCAAGAGTGTTGGCAGGAGTTGGGATGGAGTTCAGCTGGTAAAATACTTGCCTAACTGTACCACATAATCCCAGCAAGGTGGCACATGCTTGCAATGCTAGCACTCCAGAGGTGGAGGCAAAAGAATCGGATTTCAGGTCATCCTCGCCTACATGGAGGAGTTCAAGGCCAGCCTGGGAATATGAAACCTTATCTTAAAAAAAAAAAAAAAAAGACTCCTGAATAAAAATATTGAAAAACTGTATAACTGGATCTCAAGTTTTTTGCACTTACAAATAACTTCAATTAAGACACAACCACATAGCATCTCTTCAACAGTCATAATAAATGTTACATTGTAAATTATAAGAAATAACCTTCCTAAGACAAGAACTAATTGCTATTCACTCACACATTCTCCTTAACCAAACATTTTTATAGAGAACGGAACACACAAAGGAAAAAAAACATGTCAACCCCACCTGGATATCGGTTTTCAGCCATTTGGAGTCAAGTCGAGACTGGGCAGCCAAACAGAAAGACTCAGAAGGCATGTTTCCTCCCGGTGGTCAGACCTGCAAGTCAAAACAGAAACGCTGGAGTCCTAAAGCTTTTTTAACTGCTATTTACACTATTCTGCAGTTTAACGCGGCAGAGACAGAGAACATAAAACAGGGAAGGAGAGCTGGGGGAGGGGACGAGAGGATGAGGGATGAGAGGGAAAGCTGGACCCAGAACGGGAGAAGGGAGGGAAATACCACTTCCAATAGAGTCGCTGGGATTTCCCAATGCATTGGCCGGACCTACAGTGGTCACCGGCGACCACTGCACAATGTCATCCCACTCCCTTAAATCCAAAGGGACACTCACATACACACGACAGAAAAACTCACTATCGCAACGACAAATGACACTAGTGTTCATCAGCCGCTATACCTACAGCAGTCCGGGGGAGTGTGGTAAATAGACAAAAGTCATGTCTGCAGACAAATCTACAATAATCGCCTAAATACTAAAAAGATAGCCGTGACTGCGCGGCCTCCAAAGCGCCCAGGCCCTAGACCCTCCGCGCCAACGCCCGCCTTCCGCCCGCCGCTTTCTGGGCCCCGCTCTCCCGGACCTGGCGCCGCCCGTCTTCGGCCCCTCCGCCTTCCTTTGGCCCAGCTCGGCCAGATCTGGCGCCGCCCGCTCCGCCAGCCGGCTGAGGGAACACTCCCTGCAGGAGCCGGCCGGCGCTCGCGATCCAGTCTGCGGCCTGAAGCGCAGGCTGACGCATGACTGCGCCGGCCCAATAGCGCGAGGTTGAGAGATGGCTTCAGCCAATGGACGAGCAGCGTCTCACGTCCCTCCCAACTTCCGCTTCCTTCAACACGACTCATCTTCCTTCTTGAGACTCACCCGCTCGGCGAGAGCCAACCGCAGACGCCGGGAGGCGGGACTTCTGCGCACGCACGCCTGCTTGCCGAGTCTCAACCATTCTCAGATTGCGGTGCTCCCAGGGACACGAAGTTTGTACGCTATTTCCAGCGGAACAAGGCTCCCTGTACTTTAAGGACAGGGTCGTTTTGGCCTTTGAGTCAGTGAGCATTAAGACGAAATTTAAGAAAAAGCAATTGAGCCGGGCCTGGTGGTGCATGCCTTTAATCCTGGCCTTAGAGAGGCAGAAGCAGGTGGATTTTGAGTGAAGAGACCCTGTCTTGGGGGAAAAATAGTAAGAAAGAAATTAAAATCACACAAAATATGTTCTCTGATCATCATGGAATAATAAAATAACTTTAAATAAAACATAACACAAGCATTTAGAAATTAAACTTTTCCATGAGAAGGCAAAGGACTTAGAAAACATTTTTAATGGGAACTGGATGTGTTATGTTGTTTTGAATACGATAGTTCATTTTCCCACTTGTAAAAAGGCACCAATGAGGGATATGCCACAGTGGTATGGTGGCTCAATTGCAACGTTAAGAGGCCTGTCTTTTGTCATCCTTGGTATGTATCTTTTAAGTTCACTCCAGGGGTCAATGGATTTGCCATAGCTCTAGATATCTCTATTTCAAGCAGCAGGAAGCAGTATAAAAGGTTCACAATCTTTTGTCACACTTCCTAATGGCTCTGTGACTCTAATTTAGTTCTGCTTTGTCTCCAAAGTATCTGAACAAGGTTTCAGATTCAGCCACATCCAAAATACAGGTAATTGGACAGGGCTTTGTACCTGAAGCAAGACAGCTTTATTACCAGTGGAACGTAACACCTGAGGGGACTTCTCTGGGCCTCAGGCTCCCTTCTTATGCAAGACAACCTTGATTCCTCCACATACTGGAGCATTTTTACATACATACATACAGTTTTAGAACTGTGTCTGCTAGTTCAAAAAATTTATGTTTGCAGTCCATTTTGTGTTTCTGTAACAATAACATGACTGAATAATAAATACAGAAATTTACATCTCACACTTCTGGAGGCTAAGTCTAAGAGCATGGCACTGGCATCTGGTGATGGCATTTCTGATGTAGCATAACATGGTACAGAGGCAGGAGAACCCATGAGTGGCAAGAATACACCAAGCAAACACATCGTTTTGGTCTATGAGGCATAGTCTACTTGATGACTTAATCACTTATTAACAGGTCCACCTCTTAATACTGTTACAAAAGCTGTAACATTTCCACAGGAGATATGAAGGGACATTCAAACCATAGTGGAATATCGTGAAGTGTCTAGGATGGCAGGGGTAGAAAGACTAAGGCGGCAAGAAAAGCAAGGTCTCAAAACTCAGCCAAGATTTCTTGAAAACAGATATACAGAGAGAGAGAGAGAGAGAGAGAGAGAGAGAGAGAGAGAGAGAGAGAACAAAATATACAGAGAAGAGTGAACCACTAGAGAAGGGATCCAAAGATACTATCTGTCAGAAGCAAAATTTTTATGTTTGGCCTTTATATGTTTGGTATAAGTCATTCTCTCTCTCCCTCAAAACTAGCTGGATTGGGCTATTTTGGGGAAATGTATAATCCAAACAAAGAAAGGGAGGCTGGCTGTTTCTCCATACCGGACACCCTCTTAGTGGGAGATTTGAAAGTCTCACCAAACAATTCTTCTGATAGGAAAATCCCACTAAGTCTTTAGCTTGGAGAGGAGAAAGAAAGCAGGAAGTCAGCTATCTTAAATGTTTCAATAAAAAATAAATTAATATTCCTAGATCCTCTTTTCCCTGTGCGTGCCTGCTCAAGAACTGTCTACCTTCCAGTCCCTCAGTAGTACTAACCTTGCCCAATTCTTCATAAGTCGGTGCCTATAGTCTTTAGGAATTTGTGTTTAAGAAGATGATAACTATTCATTATTCATTTAACATACATGGCTGAAGAGATGGCTTGGACATTAAGAACATTTGCTACTTTTACAGAAGACCTGGTTTTGGTTTGTTGTAAAATAATCTTGGTGTCATTCAAAAGAACACATGAATAAAACAAAAGTAGCTCAGCAAGATGATTTTTTTTTTCTAAAAAGGTTTCTTGAAAACCCAAACCAGGCTACTAAGCACGCATGCCCAAGATGGTCCCTGTTGTTTATCCCTAAATGTAGGCGATGACTGTATCTCATCCCATTGGTAGGAGCCTGACTTCGCAATCACATGATTGGTTAAACAGTGCAACGAGGGAGATTCAGAGAGTATGGGTTCTTGTCACATTAACCGTCTTTGAGGTTAGCCAGCATATGCTGACTTTGTGATGTGTTTATTAACAGTAAAGTATTGTTAAGTGATGGCTCAAGCTTGGCTTAAGGTGAGCCCACCTTCCTGGGGTTCCAAGACTCAGTGACTTGTCCCAACTGGAATGTAATGTTTTCACCCTGGCCAGAGATTCTATTCTCCTGACAAGGAGTCTTCTATTAATAAGAGTTTTACTGCTATTTTACTATTCTCCCTCTGAAGAGATAGAATTATTTAGGAGCCAGCATCAGAGGTCAAGTGCTCACACGAGTTCGTTCCTCTCTCTCTCTCTCTTTCCATCTCTGGTTTCTAGCCAGGGTCAAGCTGCCAAGAGACCCAAGGACAGTTTGTGCTTTCTGGCAAAAGAGAAATGTGGGTGTTTTTGTTTTGTTTTTGTATTATCTTTAACCAAGACTGCCTATTCAATTTTTTTATTTTTTTTTTAATTATCCACCTTCCCTCTGAAGAAGTGACACTCCCATGATAAAATTGGGGTGATTACCAGGCTGACTACTTCAAGCAGAATGGGACCATCAGACATGGCAGTCAGGGTACACCTCCAGTGGATCTGTCTAAAAGATTCCAAAAGTGTGTTGTTGGTAGTTTCACTTGTATAACTATAGCTCTCTTTTGCTATTTTATGGCTTCTTTCTTCCACTCTTTCAACACCCTAACTCTAGATAGGAGAAAAGAGGATAGAGAGGAGAGGAAAGAGACCCCTGAATAAAGTCAGGAGTCAGAAAGTGGGCGACATTATCATTAGACTATGTCCTGCTGATTATGGGCATCAAGTTCTTGGGGCAAGTTTGATCTTCTCTCTCAGGATATCTAATTTTTTCTTGTTGCTGTTTCTTCTTTGCACATAACTACGTAACAAACGACAACCAACAACCACCACCCTGCCTTTCTAGGCTCTGGCATTTATATACCCTCTGAAAAGTCCCCAGAATTCCACCCATCACACAGTCTCAGAAACTATCGGCAACTTTCAAAAATCATGCCTCTGCTAGAGCACGAGGCAAAACATAGCCAGCTCTTGTGGACAATCTAAAGCATCCTCATACTCCACACCTGCGATTAAAACAAAAATGTATTCTTACAATATTTCTGTGTTTTTCAAAAAAACCAAAATTCCAGAATTGTCACTATATATAGAAGCCTGGTGTACAGAGGAATGGAAGTCCTTCTCTGGTTCCTGGAAAATGATGTGAGGGAGAAGTAAAGGCAAAAGTTATTAGCATTATAAGTCCTTGGCAAGGGACCAGGAGAAGCAAGAAGAGATGATATTTCTTAAATGTCCAAGTCAAATTACATTAGAATCTCTTGATGGTATGTCAAGAGGACCTATGTATGTCCTCCTCCTGAACCCAGAATGGACTTTCAGGACATTTGGAGTAGCTTGAATCAGCATGAGACCTCCACCCCAATGGCTTCTAAATAGGAGGAAGAAAGAAACTTAGCTATCTTTTCATTTTTATGTTAAAACAACAGCAGCTGTAGATGGGTATTCAGTATTAAAAAGTATTGAAAGTATTATACCTGGGCAGAATTTTTTTTTATCAAGAAGAAATCATTAGCGAGAAATAGTGGTATAAAAAAATCTCATAGGTTAAAGACTGTCTGTGGAGTATAATCCTGTGCAAGCTAGTTCATTTGTGCACTTCTTGTTTCATGATCGATGTGGGACCACTCAGCCCACTGGGGCTGGTACCATACTTGGGGTTATATAAGAAAGCAGGCTGAGTAAGCCATGAGGAGCAAACCAGTAAGCAGCATGCCTCTGTCATCTCTGCTTCAGGTCCTCCATCCAGGTTCCAGCCTTGAGTTTCTACCCTGACTCTCTTCATGATGGGCTGTAAGCTATAAAGCTTTTGGTCATAGAGTTTATCACAACAATAGAAAGCGAATGAAGACAGATCCCTTGAACTGTTGAGGAAACATATCAATCATTTTAGTCTTTGGTTACACTTTCTGTATAAAACTATTCCTGTTTAAACCATTCAAGTTGGCAAAATACATCTCTCTTCATCATCATCATCATCATCGTCACTGTTAAGTCCAGCTGAGGATTTGGTACTCAGGGATCACTTCAGCTTGAAATGAACCTCTGGCTCCTCTAGCCTTTCTTTTACCAGTTGTCCTGTCTATGCAAGGATACGTTAAAGGCCTTGTTTGACATGGCTGTGGCTGCACTAGGAAGCATCTAGCAATATTTTGCTCTGTTATCCTTCTTTGTTGTAGACTGGACACTAGTTAGAGTTCACTGGTAGGCCCACATGGTGTCTTTGAGAAAAACAACAGGTGATTTTCCTTTCCCACTGTTACAGGTCATTTTGAGAAATGCCCCACAGTTCCCTGGGACCTGGTTGACTTTGGAGAGCAAGGAGAAAATATTTACCTTTATTAATCACTCTGATGGCATTTGTATTGGTCTCTAAATATAGTTATTGAATGCCCAGAAGGTCAGTTATTCTACTAGTCTGGTATGTTTTTTAGGATTTATTTTTATTTTAATTATGTGTATCTCTG